AGACATGCCTGGAATCGACCCTGAGATTGTACAGCACCGGATCCCTCTCGACCCCGAGGCCCGACCGATCAAACAGAAGCTCAGAAGGATTCGTCCGGACTGGGCCATCAAAATTAAGGAAAAGGTCACCAAGCAAATCGATGCAGGCTTCCTGTTAGTATCCGAATACCCGACTTGGTTGGCCAACATTGTTCCAGTGCCGAAGAAGGATGGCAAGATCCGAGTATGCGTGGATTTCAGGGATTTGAAGGTCATCTCTGTTGATTGATATAGGTACGTCGCATTCATTTATATTTATTGCATTTGCTACTGCATTGGGGTTAGAGGTTGAGCAGTTGGAGTCGCCGTTGTGAGTTGAGTCACCGGTTGGAAGGAGAGTGGCATTGGGGCGAGTGTGCAACTCTCGCGAGATTGAGGTCGCAGATCATTGACTCTCTTTTGACTTCATCATCTTAGGCATGCATATTTTTGATATTATTTTGGGCTTGGATTGGTCGGCACATTTCCGAGCTACTATAGATTGTCAACGACACAGAGTGTTCGTATGTACACCCACCGGGGATTGTTTTCATTTTCGGTGTGATCGGGTTGACGGTTTGATTCCCCCGTTGTTTGACCTTAAGGGTCGATGAGGACTTAATTTTCTTTTTGCTATCTCCTTAGCTAGTGAGGGTAGCATGGTTCGGAATGATTTGCCAATGGCAGTTTGTGAATACCCTGATGTTTTCCTTGAAGATCTTACTGGGTTGCCACCTCATCAGGAGATTGAATTCTCCATTGACTTAGTGCCTGGCACGACACCAATTTCCATGGCACCTTATAGATTTGCACCCGTCGAGTTGCATGAGTTGAAGATCCAACTCCAAGAACTTCTAGACAAGGGCTTCATTCGCCCTAGTACATCACATTGGGGAGCACCGGCTCTGTTTGCAAAGAAGAATGACAGGTCCTTGTGGTTGGGTATTGATTACCGCAAACTGAATAAAATTACAGTCAAGAACAAGTACCCTTGACCCAGAATAGATGACTTATTTGACCAACTTAAAAGGTTTAGTTGCTTCTTGAAGATGAACTTGAGATTGGGGTATCACTAGTTAAGGGTTAGGAAGGAGGACATCCAGAAAACGGCATTTCACACATGTTATAGATTACGAATTTTTAGTTATGTCTTTCGGTTTAACCAATGCACCGGCTTCCTTTATGGACTTGATAAATCGAGTCTTCCGAGAATTTTTGGACCGTTTTGTAGTTGTCTTTGTGGACGCCATCTGATTTATTCAGCCTCCGAGGAGGAACACAAACAACACTTGCGGATTGTGCTTGACTTACTTAGAGTGCACCAAGTGTATGCGAAATTTGAGAAATGTAAATTTTGGTTGACGGAAGGAAAGTTTTTGGGGCATGTTGTGTCGGGAGATGGGATAACGGTGGATTCTTCTAAAATAGAGGCCATGAAAGATTGGGAGCAACCTAAGAATGCATTTGAAATCCAGAGTTTCCTAGGGCTAGCCGAGTATTATCGTCTTTTCATAAGAGATTTCTCTAGACTAGCCACACCTTTGACTAGATTGACGAGAAAGGGTACTAAATTTGTGTGGAACGAGACTTGTGAGAAGTCATTCCAAGAACTTAAGAATAGGTTGACCACCACACCGGTTTTGATAATTTCGGAAAGAGGCTTGGGTTACACCGTTTATTGTGATACGTCCCGGGATGGGCTTGGTTGTGTGTTGATGCAAGAGGGGAAGGTTGTGGCCTATGGTTCACGACAATTGAAAACTCATGAGAAAAACTACCCCACCCATGATCTAGAGTTAGTGGCGGTAATTTTTGCTTTAAAGATTTGGAGACATTATTTGTATGGTGAGAAGTTTGATGTTTTCTCTGACCATAAAAGTCCAAAGTATTTGTTTCCTAAAAAGACTTGAATTTACGCCAACGGAGATGGATGGAATTCATGGAATATTATGACTTCGAGTTACACTATCATCCGAGAAAGACCAATGTAGTGGCCGATGCCTTGAGTCGGAAATCTGTGAGTAGTTTGGCAAGTGTGGCCATTAGGGAATGGGTAATGCTAGGCAATATCGATAATTTCAATTTGCATTTGGATGAGTCCAACAAGGGTGCTACCTTATTTACTTTGATTGCACAACCCACCTTGATTAGTAAGGTCATAGAGGCACAACAAGGTGACCGTGAGGTGGAGACAATCCATGATAGGATCTCCAACGGGAAGAAAGAGAAGGGTTTGAACACACACTCGGATTTCCAACTCAAGGGTTTGAACATACAATCTGGAATCTTGTAGAGAAGAGGTTCTCCGATAATTTAATCATTTACGCCTTGCGGTACATTCGGAAGGCACAAAAATGTATCATGATCTTAGCTGTCAGGTTTGGTGGAGGGGTATGAAGCGTGACGTCACTCTGTTTGTTTCGAAATGCCTTACGTGTCAACAAGTGAAGGCCGAGCACCAAAAGCCAGCGGGTTTGTTACAAAGTTTACCGATAACTAAGTGGAAATAGGAGCATCTTACCATGGATTTTGTAGTTTGGCTTCCTAGAACACAACGGGGCAATTATGCCGTTTGGGTGGTCATTGATAGATTGTCTAAGTCCACACACTTCAATCCTATGCGCACCAGTGACTCAGTTGATTATTTGGCAAAGTTGTACATTTAAGATATAATCCGACTTCATGAGGTTACGGTCACCATAGTCTTCGATAGAGACCCTCGTTTCACCGCCCAGTTGTGGCAAAGCCTACAAAACGCGTTGAGAACTAAGTTGACCTTTAGCACAACTTACCATCCTCAAACCGACGGGCAATCGGAGCACACTATCCAAATTTTGGAGGACATGCTGAGAGCTTGTGTCCTTGTTTTCAAGGGGTCTTGGGAGAGGCATCTAACGTTGATCGAGTTCGCTTATAACAATAGTTATCAGACTAGTATCGAGATGGCACTGTTTGAAGCCTTGTATGGCCGACCTTGTAGATCACCAGTTTGTTGAGCCGAGGTGGCCGATACACCGATGTTAGGCCTAGAAATTGTTAGAGAGACGACCAAGAAAGTTGCTCTCATTCGAAAGAAGTTAGTTACAGCTCAAAGTCGACAGAAGAGTTATGCTGAGAAGTGAAGACGACCTCTATCTTTCAAGGTTGGCGACCATGTGTTTCTTAAAATTTCACCAAGGTGGGGTTTGATGAGATTTGGTAAGAGTGGGAAATTATCTCCAAAGTTTATTGGACCTTTTGAGATATTGAAGCGAATTGGGAAAGTGGCATACTGTTTAGCCTTACCGCTATAACTTGCTGGAGTTCATGACGTATTCCGTGTGTCTATGCTTAAGAAGTATGAACCCGACCCTTCGCATGTGCATGATTGGGTTAACTTGGAGGTAGATGAAGATGCCTCATATGAAGAACGGCCGGTTCAAATACTAGACACCCGAGAACATGTGTTGAGGGGTAAGACTATACCATTAGTGAAGGTGTTGTGGAGACACCATGGGGTTGAGGAAGCAACGTGAGAACGGGAGGCAGAAGTCCGCTCCACATATCCAAATTTATTTGAGAACACTTAATTTGTTCTAAATTGTAAAATTCTCTTGGTATTGAAGTATTTGAGTTGCTAACTACTTGCCAATCCTTTTTCAGTGTTCAATTTCTTTTGTTTTCCTGAGTTTCCCGAGTCACCAAACAAAGCAATCCAGAATAAATAACACAGAATTTGAATTGCAATAACATTAGAGAAAGAAGTTGGAGGGCTCAAGCCAATTGACAAATAACAAAATTCATGCAAAAGGTAAAGGACATTCATTGAAAACAAAAACAAAACAAAAAAAAAACCATGGATTTCTTTTCCTTGAGAAAAATTTAGGATGAAAAAGAAATATCAAGAATTAAGAACAAGAAATTTCACCTCATTAAAACAATCATGGAAGATGAGCCACAATAATGCTAGGTGACATTGGAGCGGACTTCGTACAGATGGCGAACCTTTAATCGGATGATTTGCCCAGCTTGGGGGCAAGATTCGTGGTAGAAAACATATTTGAGTGGACTGCGATTGCAAGTTAAATAGCCCCCATCACTCGTTTAAAAGGTGTGAGAGAGAAGGTCCGATAACCTAATAATTCAGCAAAAAATTCAGACTAAGGGTGTTTTAAGTTACCAAAATGCCAAAGGTAATAAGAAACTGAAGCTGTGTGCATATTAGCATCTGGTTGTAACTCTTGTAGAGAAAGTGCAGTGCAGTGCAACTAATGATAGGGAGGCATAAAGCTAGAGAGAAGTCATAGACGATAAAAAATCCCATTTTATGGGCTTCTGAGTTCAAAATTTTCAATTTAGCCTTCACTTGCAAAATCATGCAACAATATTAACTATATCTAATTCAAATATGACCTGCAACATTAGGAAGTGATGTCAACTCATTCATCACAAGTAGAAGCTCCCAATTTCGTAAGACTAAAATGTAGAATGTCTAACAAAGAATACAAAGCAAGTGAAGTGTTACATACAAGGCACAAAAAGAAAAGGTATTTGTCGAACATTTGTTTGTTTTGAACTAATGAAAAAATAAATAGAAAAACATATAAACATTATGGAAGAAACAGGTCAAACACAGCACAAAACCAAGAAGGTTATTACAATTTATATTGGCCCCTCATATTAGCCTTTCCAGGTGTGAGCCATTTACGTACCCAAGAAGCATAGTTATCGGAATCCCGATCCGGATCGTAGGATCTTATGACCCTACGATTTCAATTGTGCCAAACGATCCGGATCACACTAGATCTTAAATTTAGTAGGATCTTAAAGTTACTATAATCCTATTCATAAAATCGTGTAGAATCACATACGATCCTGATTCTACTACGATCCCGATCCTAACAATTTTTTTGTTGTTATTTATTTCTTATATATATATATGTATGTATATGTATATAAAAAATTGACTATAAATGTGTACATATGTGTATATCTATAAATTGACTAGAATCGCATAGATATATGTGTATATCTATATAAAAAATTTGACTATAAACACTTTTTTCAAATGTCTCTTCTAATTGATGTTAACATAAAAGAAACATTATATCAAATTTATCATTTTTCTTTAATATTTTTAATATTACATAACATATATTATCATTATCGATAATTTTTCATTTTATTGTACATTGAAAGTAGAATCTTACGATCCTCAACCCGATTTTACCATCTGATCCACTAGTCTCTTCCAACGATCCCACATAGGATCCCGATTTTAACAACTTTGCCAAGAAGCTATATTGCATGCAGCTGGTCTCTTTTCTATTGAACGAAGATGGTACTCTCTACTCACCCTCCAATATTCACTAAGAGACTAATATTCAAAAAGAGACAGTACTCATGTCTCAGTTTTTTTTTTGTTCTCTACTGCTGTCAAATTTAAGATTTCATAATATTTTTAATTGGAGCAAGTTCATTCCAAGATTCCAATAACAAAAAATTCAATAAAAAAAAAAACACAGCCATTATCAGAAATGATTAAGACCCTAACTCAACACAAAATAAGTCTGTTGTAGTGTTGGCTTTGGGCCCATTAATCCAGCTATAGCCTATAGTTAGAAAATTACACATCAAATTTGTCCAGATAATGCAAAGGCATATTCAATGAAGAGGAAGCTTTAACCAACGGATACACATTCATCTATAAAAAAAATTAAGTGTGTATCACAAAGAAAGGCAATTAGAAACAAAAGCATCATCTAATCAAGCATTCATTAATAGGAATACAAAAAGTACCTGAAGCAGACTCGCTCTTAATCTGAATCTCATTCTCTTCAATTGGGTGTGTATGCTCTTGGTTTCATCTTCTGCCCTCAAAACATCGGATAGATAAGTAAGGACATAACAATTCACCAAACTTTCATAGCTGACATACACTAAAAGTAGAAACCAATAACAAAATTTGTCATGTAAAACTCTTGAAAGGGCCACAAACTACTTTCACCAAAACAAAATTGGCAAATAAAAAGTAAAAACAAAGAAGTCATAGTCAACAATGTCTTGAAATCTATGACCAACAATTTAATTCAAAAAAAATAGGCATTTGTCTAACCTATAGTCACTGCAGTCATTCAAGCTTAACCTGATAGAGGCAACAACAATGATCAAATTGAGAAAGAATACACACACACACACACACACATATATATATAGAGAGAGAGAGAGGGAGAGGCCAAACTTGCTAAAGAGTGATGTCGTTCATAAATAAAAGTTTTCCAAACATACACACACACGTATACACAAGTAAATCAATAACAAATTGTAGAAGAGGTAATAATTTGAAAACAAAATAGCAAAAACAATAGCAAACCATTCAAAATTTTAGTCAAAAATCAAAGAATGTAGCCTATTCAAATCCATAACCCAACAAAAAAAACTCAAAAATATTAACATTAACATACACTACTAATGAAAAACATAGAAAATAAAAAATAAAAAAACCTAAACAATTACGATAAATGTGACAATGTTTATCTATTATGACCATTCAATTACCTTGAAGTCCTGAGCAATTTCACGGACAAGCCTTTTCAATGGAAGCTTCCTGATCAGGAGCTCAGTACTCTTTTGGTACCAGCAAATTTCACTACATATCAATAAAGATAACAAAGAATCTGAAAAACATAAGAATTGTTATAAATATAGTAACCATAATTCAAGCTTTAATTCACTAAGTAGAGAAGAATTTACTTGCCTAAAGAGGTGCCTTCCTAGCTGTAGGAAGGGCTACCAAAAGAATTTGTTTATTTAGAACAGCAAAAACCAGTGAACTCAACACTATCATGAAGAGCCAAAGACAAAGGCATTAAATCTGCTTCAAAAACTATGAAATATAGTGGCTAAGGATTTGCAAACCATCATTTAAAAACCAATGCTGTGAAGCCACAATCTAACAAAAGCAAAGTTACTATTGAAGCAACACTATATATAACATTTTTTTTTATTTGATATTTTGAGAGAAAAATCTAAAAAAAAATAGCAAAGTAACTACTAAAACAACATTCCTAAACTTTAGTATTTTGTCATTATTCATTACTAAAATATAGCAATAACCATATTGCGTGGATAATCTGGGAAAACATAAATCAAAAGAAATTAGCAACAACCAAGACTCCAAGATATTATCCTTGAAAGATAAGAAGAATATAAGACACATTAATTTTCATAATAGCTGGAAAAGAAAGCTACAAGTTAAAGAGGGGCCAACATTGATATATCTCTAACTTTGGGTTGGTTACTTAGGTTGGTTTGAAGGTATAAATCACTCACAATGCAATTGTAGCTATATGCAAAATGCAATTCTATCCATCATCCCATCCATTAGAAAACAAAAAAGATTTCTAAAGTTCTAGAAAAACAAACCAAGCACACTTGCTAGTGTTATTGCATTGACCCCACACAAAATAAATAAATAAAAATCCAAAGAGAATGAAAACAGAGAAAACACATGGGTAAATTTCTTTAAAGTATAAAAACTAAACCCAAAATAACCCAAAATAGAACACACAAATCTATAGAGCAATGAAAAATTACCCAAAAAAAAAACATTTCAATTCAGATAAATCATTCACAAACAAACCCAATAACCCAAAACGGAGCAATGAAAAAAAGAAAAAGTAAACCAAAACTAACTTGGGGCACTTTCTCAGTAGAGGAAGAGAACCACCACGAAACAACTCCATTGAGGCTCTTACAATCTTCAAAATCTTAGACCTGCAAAATAAAATAAAAAAGATAATCAAAATGAGTTACCCAAACATAATCATACCTAGTTGTGGGCTAAGCTAGAGTTAGGAATTGATGGAAATGAGGATTCATTGTGATGGTGGGTATTGGGAGACGCCAAAGAATGAGTGAATGAATGAGGGGGAGTTATGAGCTGAGAAACACACACACACACACACAGGACTGATGAGAGTGTCATCTGATGAGAGAGAGAGAGAGAGAGCAAAGAATGAGTAGTGATGAGAGTGTAAACTTCAGACAGGATTTGAGTTTTGAATTTTGAACTCATCTTAACTTGAGCCCTACAATTGAAGCAAATCATGATTTTGAGCCATGATAGATGAATCCTCTCACATACAGTTTAAATTTGTAATGTAATTGTGGAAAGCTGAAGGAAAGAAAGACAAAGTTATCTCAACAATTGAATCAAATGTCCATATAGGATAACCATCCCATCAGCCCCCTTGATTTGTTATATATATAAATATATAATATAAATCAACAATAAATTATAAATGCTTTGGAACAAATTCATTGCAAGAGATAGTCAACAACTTTTATCAATTCTACTACTATTTCGTAAATAAGTTTCAGATATTAATCACTTGGTTTCAACATTTAAATAAAACTTAAATCACTATTTTAAGGAACTTAAATCACTATAAACCTTCCCCAAACTATGAACTATTAAATCAATGCATTGGAAACCCACTTCTTGTAATGATATTTGGAGGATTCAATCCAAAGCATCATACCAAACCAAAACAAAAAATAATAATAATAATACTAATAATAATAATAATAAATAAAACTGAAAACCTGAAACCAGATTACCCCTTTACCCTTAACCATTAATCAAGAGGTTTTAAGATGATTAATGTTTGTTTTGGTGGACTAATTGCATAGATTTTTTCTGTTGTGAGGTGCCTTGTTAGTCATTTTCCTCTTGTTCAAATAATATACAAAACCAATCATACATAAGAAATTACACACATTATAGCAGTGCAAGTCAATAAATTGATTAAATAGACTACAACACAATACCCAAATTCTTAGTTCACATTACACTAGGTTTTTTCTTCCAATAATTCATGTGTACATCCAACATAAATATATTGGGTGTTTAATTGAATTTGCAATTGATCACAGAACCATAAATGTGAGCTACCAACACAAAATACTCCTCGAATTCCCAAATCTTGAAATTAACATATACCTAGAACGAAATATGGTGGCTAAGAGAGCGAGAGAGAGAGATTAGGGCCCGATGGCAGGAAGCAAGAGAGGATGTAGAGGGAAAACAAAAGCAATGGAAAGCGGGCTTACCGGTGGGATTGGCTGGCGGTAGCGATGGGCCGTGCGAATGTGGGGACTGTGGGGGTTCCGCTGTATTCAGAGAGACAGTGCCAATGGTGGCATGGTGCGGTAGTGATTACAGGGCGGTGAAAGTGTGTGAGGTAGAGATTGCTAAGAGAGGGAGTCGATTTGTGAGAAATTAGGGCAGAGAATAAGATCCAAAGAGAAAGAGGGAGATAAATCAACTTACCTGGTGAGGATGAAATAGTCCAAGTTCGTGAATCGGCGGCGTCGACTTAGGATTTTAGGCGGTACAATGGTGGAATGGGAGCAACAAAATCGTCCGTGAGGGAGGAGGAATGAGAGAAAGCAGTCGTGTGGGAGAGAGAGAGAGGGAGAGAGAGGGACATGAGACACGTAGAAGGGATTAGGGGCAAAATTTAAGAGGCTCCGAAATTTTGAGAGGGAATTTCAAATTAACGTAAAATTTTGTGAAAAAATTTGTTCCCAATTGTTTTTTAGATGTGAAAAATATGTTATGCTTCTTAAATTATTATTTATTGTTTATAATTTTTTTTATTAGAGTTTTATGACTCAGTTTGAGAAAGAAAAAAAAAAAGTATAAAATTTTGATACATTTAAAAGTACAAATTTTATTAAAAAAAATTAAAATTACACCAAATATAAAAATATCATTTATTTTTTATTTTTTTATTTATAGATTTTTTAAAATAAATAATTTAATTTTTAATTATATCTAGATTAACTGCATTTAAAAATTCAATTTTTTAATTGAAATATTAATAAAATTCACTTAAAACAAACAAAAAGTATTGAAAATTTCAAAATAACTTTTGCAATTCTAAATCAAACAAAGTATTAGTTTTTCAATTATTTTTTTTTAAAAAAAAAAGATATAATTAGTCTAAGGTCCCTTTCCCATTTTTAGTAGTAATAGAAGATGTACGGGGAGCAAATATTCCGGCAAGCCCGTATTCCTTTCTTCCGAGCTTCGTCGATGTCCAATCACCTGCGAGCAAGTAATGGTGAGCTACCCGGTGGTGTATGGCCGGAAAAACCCTCCGACGGTCAAGTTAGCACACACCTTAGGATGGATCGAGAGAAGGGAGAGAGTGTTTGAGTGTAAGAAGTCCTTACAGATATGTTCTTGTGTCGCGTATGGGGGGCGCAGACATGCTTATATACCTTCTGAGTCCCATATCCACTCCCAGTCATCTCCTGACACGTGGCTCTTCTATCCCATCTGTCAGCGTAAACCTTGCCGATCATCACCTAATCTCAACTGCCTGACTTCACAGCTGGAGCTCGGCAGCCGAGCTGCTCTATCACGGCCGCGCCATGCTTCATATTCCAGCGCCTAACCGGGTAAACACATGGAGCACCGGGCTAGGGGGCATCCCGGCAGAGCCTTGCCCGGGTACCTCCTTTGGTCGGCCTTCCTGCCGGTCAAACAGTTTTCTCGGTTGACCACGCCTTTCCGGGCGCCGGTCACTCAGCTTGTCTGGCTTCAGCCATCCTCGGACCGAGCATCCTGGTCTGACCGAGCACTGCCTTACCGAGCTGCTTCTTTACGGTCGGGCGGGACGCACTCGGCCCAAGTTCTGCCCGGCCCGAGTTCTGGCAGCCCTTCTCTAGTCGAACAGTCGATCATCTCGGTCCAATGCACTGTTGGGCTCTCAGCCTGCTCGGTCGATACATCGGCCCAACTCCAGATCATAAATCACCCTCTCAATTGCCCCTTAATTCCGTCCGCAAAAGCGTGACTGGGATTACTCACTCCGACCGAGATAACATTTCTCCGGTCTTCAAGACGCCGAACCTCGACCGGGCCAGTCAACATAATTGTCTGCAGACTTGACCGGTTATATTCCTCGGCTGACCTCCTCTTCGTCGAAAGTAGCTCGGTTGGCTCTTCGTCTTTTCAACCCGTCGCTTCAGTCCTGACGTAGCCATAAATGGGGACACGTGGCGGCCCGTCATTGGTCATCGGGCAGCCAACCCGCCGTTTTTGTCAGAATTTGAATTTTGGGCGGACTCCCTCCTCCTTATACATACAAGACCTCCCCCAAACTCCAACTCCTACTGCCACTTCGATAATACCTCAGAACTCCAGCATTCTCGACCTCGCCTCTTCTGCCATTCTTCGTGTTTAGGAAGAACACCTTCAGCCCTTCACAGGTAAGTTACTCAATCCCTCTCACGTTGCTGTTTTCTTTCTTTTTACACACATTAGGGTACAAAAACGTAGCATTTAGGGCAAAGGCCATAGAATCCGTCCCAAACCTCCCACTGTTCTTGGTGTTCTTCGTCTTCCTGAAGAACATTGGAGAACTGGGGCGAACCGGGCTCCTGGTCTTCCTTTGATCTAAAAAACCAATGAAACCGAGCAAATAACAAGTTTGTCTCAACCCTAGCAAAAACCGAGATAACAAAAGGACTTGGTCACTCATCCGGGCTAACAACTGGTGTGCTAGGGCGACCGGGCTCCTTAGATAGAGTAGAAAACCGAGGTGGTTTGGCACTCTTAATGACCGAGCTAAAATCCAGCTCCTATTGCGCGACCGCGCTCACACTTAAACTTGTCATCCTTTTCCTACAGAGTCCAAGGGGACCACTGTCGTTCCTGAGTCTCTCAGAACCGAGCAGCAACCAATTACCAGTGCCAAACCACTCAACCGGGCTATACCAAGCCGGCCAGAAATGGGGAAATTCCGCTTCCTAGTGGATACTCCGGCTGCGCTGGCTGCGTTCAGGGAGGAGTACGGCGTCCCGGCCGATGTCCATCTGGATCTCGCAGAAGAGGAGACCACACCTTGGGGTAGGGAGGAGTGCCCCTTCACCGTGCTGTCCATTGTCGAGGGGGGCCTCCGTTTCCCGCTCAACCCTCTTATAACCGAGTTCCTCCGCCGCACCGGGCTGGCACCCACACAGGTGTCCACCAACACTTATAGAATAATCAACGGCGTTCACGAGTTGAACAATCGGCTAGGCATCAACTTAGGTCTAGCCGAGATACTGAGGCAATACACGATGGGCCACACCGGTGATGGCCTAGCTTACTACTTGAAAATAAGACCGGGCAAGGAAAAAATCATAACCGGCACCCCGGATAAAGACATGCACGACGACGATTTTTTCTGGGTGTCCGGCAATTACGAAACAGCCGAGGTACCGGGCTGGTTTATAAACAAAGGCTTCGGTTCTTCATGTAAGCCGCTCAACTTGCTCGGTTAGTCTAACTCTTTACTTTGCAACTAACCGGTTTTCCTGTTTCCTTTGCAGCAATCCAAGCCTTACAAGCCAACTACCAATTTCCAAACGTCGAGGCAATTCGGACCGTGCTTCGGTATCCCCACCGAGATTGCAACGACTTACTCGGCTACACCCCGACTTACAGATATTCTGCTCCGCGCCGGAGTAGAGTAACTGACTTCCTCAGAGCTCCTTCGCCACCTCCAGATCCAACCCTACCAGACGTCCCATTAATCCGGTTAACAGACGAGCAAGAAATGGCCAAAAGATCTCGGATCAAAAACCTTCTAACCGCGACCTCAGCCGAGATACCAAGTGTCGTCGCTCGTTCCCCGGCTGCCGGTCAATCCAGCGCCGCCGTGGTTGCTCTTGCTTCTCCAGCTGCCGGGCAATCTGGCCAAGAAACACGCCGGGCGGGCAAAAGACCAAGGGCCGATCCTTCTGCCGAGCTCATCACCGAGCTGGCAACCGAGCAACCGGTCGACAGGGTCAGCTCCATCCCGGCATGGCGGCCACAGCTGAAGCACCGGGGAAAAGAGATTCCGGCAAATGCTTCGATCAAGGGAGACAAGGAGCACTTGCTCGCCTTCGATCTCTCCAAGGCTTTGCTGCTTCCCAGCGATGTGGTTGGAAGTGACCATGTCCCTGACACCCGGCTGGTCAAATCCGCCGTGAAGTCCATGACCAGGGTAAGAAGTTCAATCTGTTTAAATTTTCGCCAAGTGTTTGCACGGTTTCTTCTCTGATCAAATTCTAATTTTGCAGGCCATCCAAAAGCAGCACTTGGTCATGGAGCGCATCCACAGACTCCGGCAGAAGGCCAACGACACAGCCAGCCAGGTAGAGAGCCTTCAGGCCGAGCTAGGCCGGGCTAAGTCATCCCTTGAGATGGCCAACACCGACAATAACAGACTGCTCGGTCAGCTGGAGGCGGCCGACAAAAAACAAAACGAGCTCCAGACCGAGGTGGACGCCTTGAAGAAGTCGAAGAAGAGGGCTTGCCGGGCTGCCAACAACGCCGGCTTTAACGAGGCCGAGCAGAGTTACAAGAAGCAGGTCTTTGCAACACAAGACATCTACTTCAAAGCCGGTTGGAAGTCAGCCTGCGAACACCTCGGCCAGGGCTCTGACACCGACGTATTTGCCAACCCTCCTCCAGCTGCTTTACCGGTATACCTCGTGCCTTATGCAAACGACGTCTTCAGCGCTTTGCAAGCTGAGGCCGAGGAAGGACTTGAAGAGGGAGGCGGCGAGACAGATTCCGAGGCGGAGGAGGCCGAGGTGCAGGAGCAACCCGGCAATGAGGAGCCCGGCGCCCAAGAAGCAAGTCCAGCCATCAACCTGGATGCCGGCGAGGATGAATTCACCAACCTATCCCCCTTAGTTTAGTTTTCTTTTTTGTATTTTTGCCTTCAACGCTTTTTGATGTAACTGGGCTATGTCCCCACCTCTTGTATTCATCTGCTTATCAATGAAAAAATCGAAATTTGCCAAGTGTTTGCACGGTCTTCATCCAATCTGTATTCAGCAAAACATCTCGGCATAAATTATTGTTTAACCGAAACACCTAGCCAACCGGGATTCGTACCTCGGTGGAAGCACTTAAGCAGAACAAAACAAATTCATAAACCGAAATAACCATCTCGGTTGTAACAAAGTTTGAACAAATCAACACTTCCAACTGGAGTACACCATCTCGGTTGGGAATCCTAAGTTGGACAAGACCCCAACTCTTCCAACCGGAGTACATCATCTCGGTTGGGATAAGGAACCCAAATAGAAAACCCCTTTTTTACATATATAGAAACCAACCAAAAATTCACCAAAAACCTTCCCAAATCACACCATTTATACAAGATGACAATATCTATGTTAAAACCCATATAGGAGAGTAGAATATTCCTACCTCAAGCTCAGAAGAGGAAGAATGAAGAAAAACCCAAAAGTCGACGGAGGAGAAACGACGTTTTGCTCCGATCAAAATGAAGCCCTCGACAAGCTCTACAATGTATCTCAAAGGAGCAAGGTGAGGAGAGGCCTTCAAGCAAGTAGATCTAAGGATCTATGAGTGAAAAGTGCTTTTTGAGAAAGATAGAGAGAGAGTCTTACGGTTTAGAGAGAGAAAAGGGAAGAAAACATAAAGAAAGGGGTTAAGTAAGAGCCTATTTATAGCACTAGGTAAAATTAGAAATAAGCCCCAAAGT